ATATATATATATATATATATATATATGATTATCGATGCTTGTTATGGGCTGAAGGCCCATAGAAGAGACAAATTGGGCTCAATTTGAATTATTACCGCACCCACTAATGTTCTCCCTAATTACCTCATATGTATTTGAACCAAATTTAATGGAAAATTCGATGATACAAAACAGTTTCACATCTATAATAAAGTTATCTAAGTTATTATATATCACCAACAACAAGCCAGTAAGACATCCAAGCCAACAAAGGAATAAAGGAAATGAGAAAGCACGCATGGAAGAGACGACGAAGGTGTGAAGTACTTTCTTTGACATGGAATAACGTGTGAAGTCCGACCACCGCCCATGTCTCGTCGAATCCAAGTTACAATATTGTGGGCGTGTTGGACGTCGCATGTGTTCTAACTACAGCATCCATCTTCTCCGTTTAACTCCTACTCGCAACGAAGGAGTCAAAGGACATGAGTTGGATTGTGGAATCACATACACGTTGACTCTAATATCAACCCATAATTTCTTTTAATTATTTTTTAAAATTATATTAAATTATATATGTGATATGATATGTCATCACATATCTTCATCGAGCATGATAAAATATGCTAAAAAATTAAACATGTTTATTGAATGCTATCAATAAAAAGAGTCGTGACGATGTTATATGATGTTATATCATATATATTGGATGTTATATCTTGGTGATGGACTCGTAAAGATTTATCTATTTATGATTGACTTCGAATGAATTTATCTTTTTCAAGATAGACTTAAAAAACTTCTTTTATGATAGAAATGATTTTGAGTTTTGATCGCATGTCAGTCTTCTTATTCAATCGATTTAGAATTAAATGTTTAATGAAGTTATTTTTATGCATACTATAATATGAGACTTATCTCTTATATATATATATAAAATCAGATATCTTCTAACTCTATCTATCTAATAATAATATACTATAAAATCTAAATGTTTAAAAGGAAAATACCCCTTTTCAAGTTAAGCATGTACGTTGGGAAGGGTTCTACCAACTTTGACCCAATGGTTTGACCAGATCAGAGTACCTGACTATGACTAATGGCTCACCGAAAGATGTATAAAAGAGATATACTTTCCTTGGCATGAGAGTAAAGAATACAGCTTTTTGATACTAAATTAAAGACGGAGACCAAGTCAACATAAACAGGTCGACCACTAAACGTTGACCGGATCCGAAAAAATGGAAGCCAACTAAGAAATTATCTTAGTTTGATTTGGGCAAACTCGATTATATATTGAATGGACATTTCAGTCATTACCCGTCACCGTTGATTTCTAGTTTCACATTGGGCGATTCTTTTTGGAAGTCAACATGTCGGTTTTGTTCGTCAGGCGAGACATAGAATTTTGGGGTTTGACTTGCCAAAAGTCATCAGGATTGACTTGTCAAACTCTTCGATTTGATTTCCAAACAACGTAGCACATTATTAATGGAAGGGAAATATTTTGTGTCGTCTTTTAATCCTCATAATTTCTCATGTGAATTGGGTTACATGGACTCGATCACTCGGACTATGAAAACAACCAATACCACATACATGAGATAAAATGTTATCCTTTTCGAGACATTTGCCGTTTAGATATGACAAACTTAGGATTAGGAAGGTGACAATCATCATCAATGGCTACTCCAATGAACAGCTCCCAACAAAAAGAAAGCCAGGCGAATGAACGGCTCCCTACAAAAGCTAGTAGGGAGAGTTGGTGACTACGTGTTGCCTGTGGTGGGAGGATTCGCCTTTGGGCCCCTCTTTATTTCTTTGGCGTCAATCGAGTTCATGTCGTCTACTCTTGATATGAAGTCGACATGCCAAGAGTTGGACGCAATAATTCCCTTTCATCCCTCTTACAGTGTCTCTTACGTACGTTGGTTGTAATTGTCATGATTCTAAACTTGAAGGAGACACCCAGTCGGGTCAATGGTGGGATGCGTGTGTGTAGGGGGAGTACCCGCTACATTAGAATAAATCCACCCCCTTCTTTAAACGCCCACCGTCGTACGCGAGACGGGGGAAGAGAGAGAGAGAGAGAGAGAGAGAGAGAGAGAGAGAGAGAGATGGGGCAGCGACAGGTGGGCCCGGCA